TCTATTACAACATCTATTTCTGATTTTATTTAGGTTTTTTTGTTTGTTTTGGACCTTTGGTAGATGGAAAACGAAACAGAGACAGTGAATGAACTTCAAATTGTTGAAACAGTTGGTGAAAGTAATGCTTCAACTGATTCAGATTCAACAACCAATAACATTGAATCTGAACCTGGTTCGAAGAAAAGAAAAATGGTTAAAGAAAGATCAATGGCTTGGCGCTACTTCAACAAGTTCACTGATTCCGAGGGTGTGAAAAAAGCGAGGTGCAAGTTTTGTTCAGAAGAATATGTAGCTGATACTAAGCATAGCGGCACAAGCAATTTGTTATTGCATATTCCCAAATGTCCGACCAATCCCTACAAGGCAGAAGGTAGCCAGACAACATTAGGTTTTCAGCCGCAAGGTCTAACAGGTGATGTTTCAGTTATCCCTTGGAAATTTGATCAAAAGGCATGTAGGAGGGCTTTAGCTCGTATGATTATTAAAGATGAACTTCCTTTTATTTCTGTTGAAAAAGATGGATTTAGAGACTTTGTTAGAAGTCTTCAACCTTTATTTCATATTCCATCTCGTACTACTATGACTAGGGATTGTCTTGAGATTTACCATGAAGAGAGACTTGCTTTGAAGTCTATTCTTAAAGAATCAAAACAGAGAATATGTATTACTACTGATACATGGACTTCAATTCAAAGAATTAATTATATGTGTGTTACAGCCCATTACATTGACAATAATTGGAAATTACATAAAAGGATATTGAATTTTTGTCCAATTACTAGTCATAAAGGTCAAGATTTAGCTAGTGGTATTGCTAAGTGTTTACTTGAATGGGGAGTGGATAAAGTATTTACTGTGACAGTTGATAATGCGAGTTCTAATGATGTGATGGTTAGAGAGTTATCCAAGCAATTTACTAGATGGAACACTAACTTGATGGAAGGTAAGCATGTTCATGTGAGATGTATGGCTCACATCATCAATCTAGTTGTTCAAGATGGGTTGAGAGATGGGAGTGTGTCTGTTGAACGAATAAGACAAGCTGTTAGGTACATTAGACAATCTCCCGCAAGATGGAAAAAGTTTAAAGAATGTTGTGATCTTGATAGGATAACTTCTAAAAAATCATTGTGCTTGGATGTTCCTACTAGGTGGAACTCCACATATTTGATGTTGAAGGTTGCTACAGTTTATGAGGAAGCCTTTACAAAGTATTGTGATATTGATTATGGTTTGATGTCATGTATTTCTAACTGCATTTGTGAGGATGGACAACCTGCAGGTCCACTTTTACGTGGTGATTGGGATAGTGTAAGACGTATTGTGAAGTTTCTAGAAATTTTTTATGAACTCACCTTGAAAATATCAAGTACACTTTATATTACGTCTAATGTGCACTTTCTTGAAATATGTGTTTGTTGATTCTTCTTTGAAAGAGTTGATGCAAAATGAAGATGCTTTCTTGAGAGAAATGGCAAAGAATATGAAAGAGAAATTTGACAAGTATTGGGGGGATCCACATAAGATGAACAAAATGATTTTTATCTCATATGTGCTTGATCCACACCATAAGTTTAATACTCTTTCATTTGCACTTGGTTCTATGTTTGGAGAAACAATAGGTTTGAAAATACAAGAGGATGTGAAAACATACATGGATACTTTGTTTAATGTGTATGCAATGAAAAATGGTGGTTCTGGTTCATGTTCATCTTCTCCATCTTCTCCATCTTCTCCATGTTCTGGTCCATCTTCTCCATCTTCTTCATCATTGCTCTCAAAATTCATGCTAGATTTAAAGAAGCATAAGAAATGTGGCGGAGTTGATTTTAAAACGGAGTTAGATAAATATTTGGGTGAAGATTTTGAGGAAGACCATGAAAAGTTTAACATTCTGGGGTGGTGGAAGTTGAACTCACCTAGATTTCCCACTCTTGCTGAGATGGCACGTGATGTGCTAGCCATTCCGATTTCTAGTGTTGCCTCAGAATCAGCCTTTAGCACCGGCGGACGCATACTTGATCCATTTAGGAGTTCATTGACTCCTAGATTGGTTCAAGCTCTTGTGTGTGTCCAAGATTGGCTTCGTAATGAATCAACAACTTCGATTAAAATTGAAGAAGATTTAGATAATCTTGAACAACTTGAAGCTGGTAAGCCTATCTTATTACTTGTGTTTAATGTATACTTTATTTGTATGTTTATTTAGATTACTTCTAAACTAATTTCTTGTGTTACTATCTTATTATACAGAATTTATGAATACGGGAAGAGAGCCTTGCATTGTCGACATATAGTGATTTTCCATTTGTTGTACAAGCTCAGGTATTTCATTATACACTTGCTTTGAAAATGCTCTTTGTATTGATTCATTATACACTTGCTCTCATGTAGTTCATTATACAAGATCTTTGTATTATACAGGTATTTCTGGACCATGAGCTGTCTTTTTCTTTCTCTGAAAATGCTCTTTGTATTGTTTGAAATTGCAGATTTTTAACTTGTCTCACAGTCCTACTGAGAATCTGAGATTGAGAGCTACATTTGGCCTGGTTGCTGGTTTGTGTTGACTGTTGCGGCTTCCCAAAACTTGGAACTTGGAACTCTTTTGTTTTGTGTAATATGTTAAAGAACTGTTAGGACTTTAGTAGTTTGGTTTGTTTTATTTTGCTATGAAAATATGGTTTGAAAGACAATTGATTGTGTTTTGTTTGGGGTCTTCAGTTTGGTTTACTGTCCAGTTGTGTAAATTTCAGATTGTTGTTTTGTTTTGTTAAGTTCGAACATTGTTACCCAGTTGTGTAAATTGAACTCAGTTGCATTATTAATTTTTATGAGTACTCAGTTCAGTCAGTTGTGTACTGTAAATTGAACATTGTTAACAATGTTAAGTACTTAATTTCGAAGTTCAAACAAGTATTTGAAAAGTGATTGCTCAATTTGTATTTGGAAAGTAATTCCCAACATTTGTTTATGTACTTCGAACAAGTTCTGAAAAGTGACAATCCGATCCGACAATCCGAAAAATTATCCGATCCAAAGTTTAAAATCCGATCCGATCCAATGTTAATTCGGATCGGATTCGGATTGCCCTTTTCAGAATCCGAAATCCGAATCCGAAATATGCTAAATCCGATCCGATCCGTGCACATGCCTACTTTTCACTACTATCTCCTCACTGATTTGATTTAAGATATGTAGTCAGTCATGCTATATTTTACTGATTTCATAACTCAGTCTTATTTACTCTGTTTTGATGCATAAAATGATATTTTGGGCTGAGCACCCCGTTTTATTGATAGCCCGATTAGATTGAGAGGTTTATGACTGAGTGAGGCCGAGAGCCTGTGTTGTGAGGATATCATGGGATCGGGCTGCGCGTCGCAGCATGTTGTACTAGTATGTGATATATGAGAGGCTGAGGGCCTGATTTATTATGCCACGAGATGGCTTGTTATAGCGCTTGGGCTATAGGATCCCCTCCGGAGTTTGTATACCCCAATGAGGGCGAATACCCTGAAAGAGTGATATAATGTTGCCCGGGGGGTTGTTCTTGGTTGATGTTGTGACCGAGGGGCTAATTACGAGTGATTGTAAGGTTGTCCGAGGGGCTGATTTTGAGTGATGTTATGCCCGAGGGGCGGTTTATGATACATGTTTTGCCCGATGGGTATTTATAATTTTTATCACTTTACTCGAAAATTGCATTGAGCTTCTGCTGAAACTATTGAAAAGCAACTTTAAATGATTTTTACTGAAAAATGGATTTTAAACGAGATGTTTTGACTATATTCTATTTTGAAGGCAGGTTGTACTTACTGTGATTTCATGATGTGGATTTATGTGTTTCTTACTGCTCAGTCCTTATTTATTTTTATTACTTACTGAGTTGGTGTACTCACATTACTCCCTGCACCTTATGTGCCGATCCAGGAGTTGCTGGACGTGATAGCGAGCGTTGATCTTTCATCCGTCGCGGATATTCGGAGTCAGCAAGGTAGCTGCATGGCGATCGCAACCTTGCTTTTCTCCCTCTTATCTTCCTTAGATTATATTAGTGTTTTTCCAGACTGTAATAGTCTTAGCTATATTCAAACAACCCTTAGTAGATGCTCGTGATTTGTGACACCCCGATGTCGGGCCTTTGTTCTTTCCGCACTTGTTATTTAGACTTATGCTGTGAAATTTTATTAATTAATAGTTTGAAGCATCTTTATTTTGAAATATCGATTTGATTGGGATTGTGTCGGCTGAGCTAGTTTTATGATAGGCGCCATCACGATCGGGTTGGTTTTGTGGGTCGTGACATAACCAAACACAACTTTATCTTCAAATCAAATTATAGTGAAATTTCAAATTAAAAAAAATCTTAGAATTTATGTCTAAACGCCTACTTTGACATCCCCAACTAAAAATAATTTCTTTTTTTCAACAAGCTAATAATAAAAACTCACAAGTACAAGAAACTGGCTTTTCATGAAAGTTAGCAAAAGAAGAGAAAATGAAATAACATGACTAGGTTACTTGCCTGTCACTTAACTACCTCACTAACCAATCAAAGAAAAGAATCAACGCCAAATACTAAATACATTCGGTTTTTAGCCAATGGAAACTGCACGTGTAATGTTTAACTCATCTCTGGAGCAATGGACCCTATTTCTTTCTTTTGGACAACAATTTACTAATGCCTCTTAAAATAAAAAAGGTTACAAGTAACACACGTCAAACAACAATATATATATATATATATTGTAATCCCACTTCGATTTTATTTCCTGTGTAAGATTCCCCTATACAAAATTTAATATAATAATTTGAATTATACATTATCTAATCAACTTGGTAATTGTATTGGCAAAATCCGGACTCTATATGGCATCATGAGGAGACGACGCGTGGCTGGATTCGAAATGCGTGAATTGTAATTGGAGCTATATGATATGGAACAACTCGAAAGGGCAAAGGCGGGAATGGAGTTGAAGACTCTCGAAGACTTGGTCAATAGAATTCGAATCTTTTTGGAGATTGTGATCCATTATGTTGCGTCGAAAAGATCAGCATTAGTTGGAATCTCACTCATACGATTTATCCTCTCCAACGTGCAACTGAGGGATTTGGAGTTGCTGCTTATCCCTTCGGCTATAAATAGGTGACTATCCCGGGAGGTGGAGGTGGGTAGGGTGCTCGAAGAGAAGAGAAAAACGATCTTTACATACAAAATAATATTGAAATATAACTTTTTCAGTCATTATGTAATTTGATCTCTTTGGCTTTTGGAAGATTGTTCGAAAATTAGAAATTGAGAAGAATTTCTTGCTCTACTGCTTAATTGATTTATGTTTTATTTGCTTTTTAGTGTTTACTACTTTTTTAATGCTCCGAATCAACTGATGTTAGTGGTTCAAAAAATATAAATCCAATTATTTAATCTCAAAATCAATTTTTGTGGTCAAACAGTAATAGATTTCATATAGTAACTATATAATTATTGAAGTTAACTAAAGAAGATATCATGTACAAGTTTTTAAAATAAATTATATTTTTGTTAGCTACAAACATTTAATAAAAGTAGAGTAATCTTAAATATTTTGGAAGTTTATACTGAGGTTAGAGACATAAGAGTTGGTCAATACATATTATAAAGTACATCCAGTAATTATCTTAGGCGTCAATATTTGCAAATTGCACTAAATAAAACAATTTAGTCATTGTAGAATATAATAATAATAAAAATTAAAGTGAGAGTACACCCCTCTTGTTCTTGAAAAGGATTATTAAGCAATATAAAATTAAATAACAGTAGATGAAGTTTACGCCGACACGTCATCGAAATACCACCAGCGCATTTTAGAAATTTGCGCCCTTTCACCACCATCATATACCGTAACCGACCGCCAATCTTCACCTTGCTTTCAAATTATAAAAGCCCGCTCAACTGAAAAAGCCGAACTTGGTACCCTACCGGCGCAGCATAGCATATTCCGCCGAGTTGTTTCTCCTAACTGTTTCACTGACGATGTCCGATCAAAACCCTAAACCCTGATTCAATTTTCCCGCCAATTTCTTTTCTCAGGTAATTCTACTCTTCTTACCATTATCTTGGCATTTTGCTTGCATAATTTTAAAAAGTTCCAGAGCTCGTTCGGTTTTAAAAACTACACAGGCATTTTTGAATATTATAAGGAAATTATAAAAATAGTAGGGTTTTACGATTATATTGGCATTCACATTGCTGCATGCACATTTTAAGGAAATTCAAGAAATCTTCTTTTTTTAAATAAATAAAAAAAAGGTTGGCGTTCCGACAGCTTAGGTAAATCATATTCAAGAATGTATTTTTTATTTTCTTTAGGGATATGGGAAGCATTAAGCGATTGCCTGAGGGTATTCGGAGCTCAATTAGATCAGGGTTTATATTGTATGATTTCACAAGGGTTGTTGAGGAGTTGGTTTTCAACAGCCTTGATGCTGGTGCTACCAAGGTACTCCCATTTACCCTTTCAATGTTTCAATACTCTTTATGATTTTGCAAGGTATTGAATGGAAAATTGTGGAGTTGTTCTTAAAGGTCCCAGTCACACAACTTTTTCAAGAAACTAAGTAATTATAATTATAAAAAGTAGCGATTTGGCCAGATTTTCATAAATGCCCTCACCTGTCCTTCTCCTTTACGGGGTCTAGATTTTTCGAGGTCGATTGATTCTTAAAATTGTGCCTTACAAGATAATGGGGGAAGTATATGTTTTTTCTTTTTTGAGTTTGTTAATGATTTGAGGATCATTAGAGGCGGGGTTGAGAATATCATAGGTAAGTGAACTAATGCTGGCAAGTTGTGCTTTTATCCAATTTTAATTGCGTAGACTAATTGCACCTGCGAATTTGTGAGTTGCTGGGACAAAAGGCAGTGCCCGGCGAGGCACTTCATTACTTCAATGAATTTTACCTTCCTTCGTTTGTTACCGCAGATGACAATGACATATGCTTCACGTTCTAACAATTTGACAGAGTTAACATTTCCCAGTAATGGGATGATCCTTTTGTATGAAAATTGATACGTCTTTCTCCTGTTAGTATGATTGGTGTTCCATTCTGATATCACAATTCCTTTTCTTTTCATGAGATTTATTTCCTCATAGGGCTGTTATTTTATGTTTGTTATTCTTATAAATAGTACTCCAAGATTGATCTTAAACCCACTTTCTACCAGGTATATGTTGCTCTTAGTGTTGGGACCTGCTATATTAAGGTGAATGACAACGGTAAGTACTAGTTTCTTTGATTGATGTAATGCATTTTGATCTGCAGAAAAGTTCTGCTCAATTTATTATTTTACTTGATCTCGTAAAATTGTACTTTCTTTTGAAGGATCTGGTGTTTCACGAGACGGACTGGTGCTGATAGGAGAAAGATATGGTAATCTTTTTGCAAAATGTTGGACTGACATAATCTTTTCTATTGTATTGATGCTGCTGTACGTAATTTCTTCTGCCTGACAACTTGGATGGAGGAGCATGCATAGTTACTTTGCTGATAGGATGTTTGTCGGTTTGTGTGTTCACTAGCTTCTTTTGGCATACACGTTTTAGTGGTTTTACTTGTAATCGGGCTAACTTGATTTCAAATGTTCTTGAAATAAAATAGAACTAAACTTTTAGTGGTATCATCATGATCTTTAATTTGCATGGTGGACTCATTGTCGAATTTGCTGTAATGACAAATGCAGTTGATGCCTATATTTGGTAGATTGATATTTTTATCATTTTCTCTAGCTACAATTGGGTTAGGATCCTAGTTTTTCTATCTGTTATGGATATTAATATTAGGAAATTGTAAATATGGAAAGAATCCGTTCCTTGTAAATATGGAAAAGATTTAGAATTAATCGTGTAATAAGAAGTAGGAATTTATTTCTTTTCCTTTTTGAGATTACTTGTAAACTCTATTTTAAATCCGGACATGCTTGATGGAATAATCATGCAAGACATTCCCCATATATCTTCTTTCTTCACAGTTCACATTCTTCACTTGGCATCCCTCTTTTGAATTCCTTCACTTTGCTTCTCGAAATTCTTTCTTCTTTTCGTGGCAAAAAAAAGTAAGGCTGAACAAACAAAATCTGTCTTGTCTCCTCCCCCTTTTTCTCCTGCTCCAATCACAAGTTTGTGGCAGTCTAAAATTCTGTGACTCATGATTTGAGCAACCTGACAGATACTTTTGATCATTTTCATCCGAGTTATCTATGGATATACTACTTTTGAGATGAGCAGGTAGTATGATGCTATTTATATGAAACTTTGATGAGGCTGTAAAGCGAGACTTTGAGTCTCTATGAAACTCTACTCCAAGAAACTGAGACTCGAATAATCGAATGGATATGTAGAGAACTCGAGGGAATATCAGAGAAAGAGAAGGAATGGCTGTAGAGATCTTTTCTCTGCTGAGGAGTTGAGCTGGTAATTAAGAACATGCAGGGCAATGCCTCTGGACAAGATGGCTATACTATGGCGATCAGAGATGTTAGGCTATCTTGAAGGATGATGTAAAGAAGGCATTGCAGCACTTTCACGAGACAGAGAGTGTTTCAGAAGAGTTGGTATTCAACCTTCATAGGATTAATTCCTGAAAAGAAAAGAGTTAGGTGCTAAATTACTGCCGAGGTACTAACAAAATTATTGGAGACAATAATTGGCATTTTCATCTCAGAGATACGGAAGGCTTTTGTTAATGGCAGACAAATTTAGGATGCAGTATTGTTAGCTGATGAGTGTTTATACTTTCTAGAATGAGGAAGAATGAAGCTGGGATTGTTTCTAAGCTGGACTTGGGAAATGCTTATGATCATGTCAAGTGGGTCTTCCTTGTGGAGTTAATGAAGTCGGTGGCTATTGGAATATGCTTTTGGAGTTCCGCTGTAGTTTCGATTATTATCTTAGCTGAAGTTGAGCCGGAACATACATATTGGTGATGAGGAAGTTTTGGCTCAGCTTACGGAGATAGTATATGTGCCTGTTTCTTTCATCTTCTGTTAAGCTTCCTTTTTGTCTGCCCATTCTTACAATGGTCTGAATGCTTGCTTTATGCCAGTGACATCAAAATACAGACACTTGGATGATGTGCATGCTTTCCCAGCAAGCTTTGGCTTTAAAGGAGAGGCTCTGAGCTCTATTTCTGACGTTTCTTTGTTGGAAATTGTTACGAAAACTCACGGAAAGCCAAATGGATATCATAAGGTTTTGAAGGTAAAGATCTTTTTAGTTTTAGTTGGTAGTATCCATCAGGATAGGTATAAAACTACTAACTTGGTCTTTTTTCTTAACATTGTTTACAGGACGGCAAGTGTTTGTACCTTGGAATTGATGATGATAGACAAGATGTTGGTACAACAGGTAATTGTGTCTAAGCTTACCTGATACGCGAGTTGACTGCTGTTTGCTAATAAGGAGATTTCTTGGCATTTTTCTTTTTGCAGTCATTGTTCGTGATTTATTTTACAACCAACCAGTTCGAAGGAAGCAAATGCTCTCCAAGTACTTCTAGTTTTCTTGCAATTCAGACAAAACAAAGTTATTGATTTACATAATGTATTTCTAAAGCTGTTCTCAGACCTGATTGGCTTTGGTTTGCATATATCTTCTGGAAGCCCAAAGAGGATCTTGCATTCCGTGAAAGAGTGTCTGCTAAGAATCGCCCTTGTGCATCCCAGTGTCTCCTTCAGAATTGTTGATATTGAAAGGTCTTTCTTTGTTACACTTGCTAAAGGGTATTTCCTGTCTGTTTCCTTAGATTTTTTTTTTCCATTTGACGATTTGAATGCAGTGAGGATGACCTGCTTTGCACGCGTGCTTCTCCTTCTCCGTTGCCCCTGTTGTCCAGTGGGTTTGGTATTCAGGATTTGAGCTCCCTAAACAAATTGAATGCAAGTGATGGTTCACTCAACCTCTCTGGATACATCTCAGGTCCTGATGTTTACACGATGAAGGTATATACGTCCCGCCAAATTGATGGATAAGAGATGTGATAAAGTTATCTTTCTACACTTTTTTCCCCTAACTAGAACTGCTTAATTTGCAGGTCCTTCAATATTTCTGTATCCACTTATTTCAGTACATTTTCCTGCCCAAAGAAAGAAAAACTAATCTTTGGTTGACAATTACTATATTGGATGCTTGTCTTTTACAGTGAATTTGTTTTCCTTGACCTTCACTAATGCAGACATCAATTTAAGATTTGTTTCCAAGGGACCAATACATAAACTACTCAATAACTTAGCAATGAGCTTTGACAACGCTTCTGATGTTGAGCGGCGAAGTAGCTCCCAGATGTATCCACTGTTTTTGTTGAACCTAAACTGCCCAAGATCTTTTTATGATTTAACTTTGGAGCCATCAAAGGCCTCTGTGGAATTTAAGGTGAGATTGTTCGTTGCTGTCTATGGTTTTATTTTGCTTTGGGGTTTGGAAATCTAATGTGAGTGTTTGGATATATTCTTTATGGAATTAGGTTCAGGTTTTTGGGTTTGTTTTTCAGTATTGGTTGGGGTTGTTTTTGAAAAATTATCACTAAACACCTTATCATTTTTCGGGACTTTAATAAGGGCGAAATTAATAGGTTTACTAAATAAACACCATTGGTCGCTACTAAACATATAGGATTTCAAAGTGTTAAAAAAAGGACCCCAACAGGCAAGACCCTGGCATAATGGCTGTTTCTGGAGAACAGAGTAATCTCCTTATTGTTGTGGGAGAACAGTGCAAAACCATGTTTCTAAACTTCTTTGGTTGCAAAACCAAACAGGTCAGTGTTAACAACGATATGTCATACAAATTTGTCTTACTGATTGGAATGTTGTATTTCTTAGTATGACTTGTTTGCTGCATCTGTGACTGATAATTCTTACAGTTTCAAATTCTCCTGGTTTTTGCTTACCCATTCATTTCCACTTCCCTTTAAATGAATTTTGCAGTCTGATTTACATAGACACATTTCCTTTTTAGCTTTTTGGTTTAGACCATAAAATGTTAATACTGTGGATAGGATGATGGATTTCTTCAGCTTCCTGCAGTAACTGTAAAGGGTCTGCACTGTTTGTAATTTTGGCACAATCTTTATGCTCCATTTATACAACCTTACCATGCTCAAAATAAAAAAGAATTTGCTACATCAATCTACTTCATTGAGTTTATGTGCCATGTAGGTTAAGAGAGGAATGGCTTGAGGTATCAGTTATCAC